ATTCATTGCTCATGAAAATTCCCAAGCCACCAGCAGCTTGGAAAGCTAATAATTAAAGCGGAATCCTTTCATTGCTTCCTATCTAAAAAAAAAAATAACATTAACAGCAAAATGGTTGAAACTCATTTCCAAGTATAATTTAATTCAGAATGAATATTCCGGTTATCCGAATTAACAGCGGAGGGAGCATATACAAGGGATATTGGAAACTGCCAAAGCATGTTACATAATTTTTTGAAAAAAATATGAATTGCTCTCATTATTTTCTAAAAATTACTGATTATATGCAAATAATATTTTAAAATATTACTTCAACTAGTACTCAATAATAATAATAAAAATATTAATAAAATAATAAAAATAGCAACAATAAAAATAATGAAAATAAGAAATAATAAAAATAGCAATAACAAAAAATAATAATAGTAATAACAAAAATAATAAAAGTAAGATATAATGCTACTACTACTACTACTACTACTACTAATAATAATAATAATAATAATAATAAAATAGTAATAATAATAATATGCATACTTTATTGTAATTTCGGTAGAACTCTACTAGAAAAAATCTTGCAGACGCCTTAGTCCACTTGGCCATCAATGTTTCAGACATCAGGAGCCCAGTACCACAGGACATGTCCAAACGGGAGGATAATAAAATTAGTCCCGTAGCTTACATGGCCACGTAAATATTATTGTGACAGGGGTGACATGACCAGTGGTACTGGACACCTGATGTGTGAAGCATTGATGGCCAAGTGGACTAACGCGTCAAGGAATTTTGGCAGGCTTCTCACGAGGCGTGCTAAAGGACTGGGGATTCGATTCTCGATCAGTCGCAGTATTGTTAATTGCTTAAAACCACTCGTTCTTGGATGCATTTATATATATATATATATATATATATATATATATATATATATATATATATATATATATATATATATATATATATATATATATATATATGTATATAGTACAAAATGTTTAAGAGATACAGTGTTGATATAAATATGCCATATAGAGTACATATTGTTACTTGTTTATCACTGATTATAATGCTAAAATCTCATCCAGCTCCTCAGAGCTCGGGCGCGTGCCCAAAATACAGCATGCATTACCCTCTGAACAGCAGCGCTGAGTTGCTGGAACAGAAAACTAGCTGCCCTGGGATCCCTAGTTACCCTGATGAGACTTTTGCCCAGCTCCTTAAGGAACTTAGATGCACTCTTTCCCCATATATATATATACATTTATATATACATATATACATATTTGAGTTACAGTAATAAGAAACAGTTATAAACTGATACAAATGAGTTAACCACAGATTAACTTTAAATATACGTATGCACGTTACTCTCTCTCTCTCTCCTCTCTCTCTCTCTCTCTCTATATATATATATATATATATATATATATATATATATATATATATATATATATATATATATATACAGAGAGAGAGAGAGAGAGAGAGAGAGAGAGAGAGAAAGAGAGTATATGTACTATGAGAGTTTCTTGGGTTGTGGGAAGGGACAGCTGGATCACAGCTTGTGACCCCTGACGAAGACTAGTCACGGAAATGCTGTCTGTGAAAATTCCTTTTCTAAGCCTCTTAGCTCAGTGGTGCAGCACTGCTGGATCTACTGACAGAAAGGGCCACGATTCAATTTCCCATCTACATTATATAGGCAAAATAGGTAAAATTGGTCAGTTAGCAAAAATTAATTTAAAATTAAGTCCTTCCTGAAATTTTCTCTTATAGTTTTAAAGATATTATTTTTCTTTATGTAATATAAAAATTAATAATTTTGTACCAAAAAAAATTAGAAAACTTTCCTAACCTTATTATAACACGCGCAATTTAATTTAGCCTAATCAAACTAAAATTATTTTAGATAATTTTACAATAATTTAATAATAAACAAACACAATGAAATATATTTTTTCGTTAGGTTCAAAATGATTACTGAGAAATTATTGCATACACAAATTTTCGCTTGCCTTATTCGGCAAGAAGAGCGTTGCTATTTAAGCCCAAATCGCAAGACACGATATATATATATATATATATATATATTATATATATATATATATATATATATATATATATATATATATATATATATTATATATATATATATAAAGGCTTCAAGGAAGAATATTTGGATTTCTTCCTGAAGCCATTTGAATATTCCACTTCCCCTACCACCCCATCTTTTAAACTATTTTTTTTTACCAATAGGAATATTTTATTACATAATATGGTACAGAAGATTTAAGAGATACATTGTTGATATAAAGGTGGCATATACGGTACATGTTGTTACGTGTGTATCACCGATTATAAGGCGAAAATCTCATCCAGCTCCTCAGAGCTGGGGCGTGTGCCCAAAATGCAGCATGCATTACCCCTTTGAACAGCCGCACTGCTTTTTAATATATATATATATATATACATAATATATATATATATATATATATATATATATATATATATATATATATATATGTCGTGCCGAATAGGCAGAACTTGCGAACTTGGCTTAAATAGCAACGCTCATCTTGCCATAGAGGACACGCGAAAATTTGTGTATGCAATTATTTCGCCAAAATCATTCTGAACCTAACGAAAAAAATATATTTCACTGTGTTGTTTTAGTATTAAATTATTGTAAACAAATCTAAAATATATTTAGTTGGGTTAGGCTAAAATAAATTGCGTTTGTTATAATAAGGTTAGGTAAGTTTTCTAAGTTCCTTTTGGTGTAAAATTATAATTTTTTTCATGAACAATAATGGAAAAATATATCTATAAACGTATAAGAGAAAATTTTAGAAATGACTTAATTTTAAATGAGTTCTTGCTAACTGACCAGTTTTACATATTCGGCGCGACATATATATATATATATATATATAATATATATTATAATATATATATATATATATATTTTATATAAATATATATATATATATTTTATATATTATATATATATGTCGTGCCGAATATGTAAAACTGGTCAATTAGCAAGAACTCATTCAAAATTAAGTCCTTTCAAAAATTTTCTCCTATATATTTAAAGATATATTTTTTTCATTAATGTTAATGTAAAATTTTTTAATTTTGCACCAGAAGAATCTTAGAAAACTTACCTAACCTTACTACAACAAGAACAATTTATTTTAGCCTAACCCAACTAAATATATTTTTTATTTGTTTACAATAATTTGATACTAAACAAACACAGTGAAATATATTTTTTTCGTTAGGTTCAGAATGATTTTGGCGAAATAATTGCATACACAAATTTTCGCGTGTCCTCTATGGCAAGATGAGCGTTGCTATTTAAGCCAAGATCGCAAGTTCTGCCTATTCGGGAGTTTTTTTTTTTTCTGGAGGGTGAGGATTATCCTGGAGGGTGAGGTTTATTCATGAGGGTGGGGTTTATCTTGGAGGGTGAGGTTTATCCTGGAGGGTGAGGTTTATCACCGAGGGTGAGGTTTATCACCGAGGGTGATAAACCTCAATAATGGCAAGGCTTACAAAATAAAACTTATAAAATAATAATATTTTCGACAATATTAATATAAATAATGAGTATTAAAATAATCAGAGGAAACAGATCATCCCTGTAGCAAAAAAATTTCAAAACAGTAGACAAAAACTATACATTTTCAAAAACATGCAGGCGATGAGAAATATTTTCCTTGTCAACCACTGATACCAAGTGGTAAGTGGAAACATCTACCTGAGTTACCAAAAACACGACAGGTAGAAACACATGTGTACATCCACTGTCACCAAATTACCCAGTTAGTCACGGAAAAGATGGCTCCAAAAATTCACTACTCATTTCGTCAAGGATAATTATCCACTTGTTTCTAAATTGTCAATTTTTTCTTGTAGTGTCACCAACTTTAGGGAAAATAAAGTGACTTTCTGTCCCTCTCTGTCTCTTTCTCTATCTATCTCCGTCTATCTGTTTGTCTGTCTCTTTCACACGCACACACACGCACACACAAACACACACACACACACACACACACACACACACTGTTATTACTATGTCAACGTATATATGAAAATAGCCTTAATGGAAGGTTGCTTTACAGTCCACTTTTCTGCCAGAAAGATCTTGACTGTGAACTTGAGATTATTACTAACTGCAATTACTAATAATGTGATTCTTGTTGCTATACAATATTTTTACAAATCTGTATCCAATATAGACAGATTTACACACGAGAAACTCAACTATGATTGGGATATTTAACTTACAAATATATTAACCTAAAATCTAATATTATTATTATTAGTAGTAGTAGTAGTAGTAGTTGTAGTAGTAGTAGTAGTAGCAACATAAGTAGTGATAGTAGTAATATTACTAGCTGTATTTCATTATCATTATTATTTTTTATTAGCAGCAGCAGCAGCAATGTTAGATCAAAAGTGCACATGCCTTTTTCCCCCATAAAAAAAAATATTTACTACTATCAGCATGACATGATAACTCTGTTCCCCGAACTTTGACACCGGCAGCGAGGTCACAGGGAGTGGAGAGTAGGGAGAGTGCCTTTCCCTATAGTGACAGATGAACGCCAGTTTAAGCTTCCTCATGAGAGAACCTCAACCTGAGGCATCTAAACGCGTTCTTACCTTCTTTCTTCAATAAACTGACCCGAGCACATCACCGCTAAGCAAGTGGTCGCTGGGTGATAGGCATAATGGCCTACAGTACGAAGACAAAAAGCGAAGTTTAGCTCTGTGAAGAGCTTTATCATAGTTAGACTTAAAAAAGCTCTGCACAGGGAGAAACGCTCTCACTTATACAGCTTTCTATTCAGTTATGTTTAATAAAAAGAAGACGCTACCCTGCTGCGCCCGCGCAATGGGGCGGGCACCACTGACCCGGTCATCTTATGTAAGACCCGTGTCAGGGTGCATCCCTGTAGAATACACTAACAAAATCTTCTCTTTTCCCGGCACAGTGTTACCAACTAGTGTGGTCATCTCCAACCCCGGGGCCACGAGAGTGGGAGGTCAGCTGATGCTGGTGTGTGCATCAAAAGGCTCCCGACCACCTGCTTCCCTAAGTTGGACCTTGAACGGACACTCGGTGACCCCATATAAAGAGGTGAGAGAGAGGGAAGGGGGGTAGAGAGAAAGATTAAGTAAAGAGGGAGATTTAAAGAGGGAAGTAGGTAAAGGTATGGAGGTAGGGATTGAAACCATGAAGATGGAAAGGATGGAGAGGATTTATTGAGATAATAAGAACGTGTAGAATAAACTTCCTGGCCAAGGGTTAACGTTCGAACTGGAGTAACATGTTGATTGGAGGAACGTGAGGACAGAAGGAACTTGCATATTGCCTTTCTGTTTTGACTAACACAACCCTGTGGAAGAGCATAAAATCACATATACATACGCAGCTTCGGATTTGATTTTCGTCCAGTTCATAGTAAATTTGATTACAGTCACTCATTACTATTTTTAGAGTGCCTTGTTCTGGCACTGCAGGAAGATGCACTAGTGCTGCTAGTGGTGGTGGTGATAGGGAAAGTTGACAATAGAAAACTTGCAAGAAACGTTGCAACTGGTTGTGTCTGCTAAAAATCAGAACAGCCGAATGAATACGAAAAATGTCAAGAAGCTTCCGAAAGATGTAAATAGCTTTCAGAAATTATTCAATTGGCTGTTATTCTTCAGAGTAGGTGCAGAGCAGTGACGAAGTAACCAGGGAAAGGCGAACAACTGCAGTTTGTTGCCTTGTTGGCTGGTTAATGGAGTTGAAAGCCTGTCATCTGCACGAGGGCCATAAGGCTGCATGTAACCTGTTCACCACCAGTCCTACTGAACTCTCAGTGGATATACACTGGGACATATGCATCTCTCAATGTACATATATCCTATGTGTCACGCAATGAATATGAATAAAAACTAAATTTTCGAGAATACAGCAAGCGCATGAATAATTTTTAATTCATTAACATGTTCTAAATGCATGAAAATTACCACAAGATATACAACATACTATTACACTAAAATACATAAAACTATGCATACCATATATAACACTGCAAACTGCATACAAAATACTAAAATGAAAAATACTACACCACGTACACAGCATTTAAATAATGTAAAGCAATTTGAAAATACATAAAAATTCCAGTACATACAGTACATACAAATTCTTTAAAGGTTATAGTAAACACTGCAAATTATCACAAAATATTATACAATACCAAAACATTGAAGCCAAATACTTACAATATTGGAAAATTCACAAAAAACTACGAAATACGTAAAATACAAAGTTCTACAAAATTCATTAAAATAGGCAACAAATCACACACACAATAAAGCAACATGCTACAAAATAAGAATGTGAAATCGGTAGAGAGAGAGAGAGAGAGAGAGAGACATGCAAATATATCAATCGGCCAATTGATAAGCAACGAACTAGGCTTTGCATCTCAACAAGTTCAGCTTCAGAGTTAGCTCAGAAAGTTACCACCAGCACTTTAGCTCCAGCTAAACTTTGCACTCAGTGTGCAGTAAGCGATTTAATCTTTATAATGGAGTGTGACAGGTATAATCACATCCAGCTTAGCAGAAGGTTTGCGTGCGTACTCACTCAGTTTTGTATGTGGGAGTGGTGTATGTACTCACCTATCTGTGGTTACAGAAAGAGAGAGAGAGAGAGAGAGAGAGAGAAGAAGAGAGAGAGAGAGAGAGAGAGAGAGAGAGAGAGAGAGAGAGAGAGAGAGAGACAGACAGACAGACAGACAGACAGACAGACAGACAGACAGAGAGGTGCAGGTGAATTTCAGTTTTTGACGTACTGTTGGAGTGTGAGCAAGGTAACATTTACGAAGGAATTTAGAAAACCGTTCAGCCATACACGAGTCCTGGAGGCAGGACGTATGGTGCTTGCAGACTGAGCGAGAGAGGACAAGTAGGTTTTACAGAGGTTGGAGAGTTGAACTTTTGAATTTTGATGTCTACACACTTGAAGTTAATGAATGATTGGTGGCGAAATAACATCTTGTAGGAGTGAGGAAGAGCCAGTTGTGAGTGTGGGGGAAGTTCATGAGGCAGTAGGTAAAATGAAAGGGAGTAAGGCAGCTGGGATTGATGGGATAAAGACAGAAATGTTAAAAGCAGGTGGGGATATAGTTTTGGAGTGGTTGGTGCTATTATTTAATACATATATATGGAAGAGGCTAAGGTACCTAGGGATTGGCAGAGAGCATGCATAGTTCCTTTGTATAAAGGCAAAGGGGACAAAAGAGAGTGCAAAAATTATTGAGTATACTTGGTAAAGTGTATGGTAGAGTTATTATTGAAAGAATTAAGAGTAAGACGGAGAATAGGATAGCAGATGAACAAGGAGGCTTTAGGAAAAGTAGGGGGTGTGTGGACCAGGTGTTTACAGTGAAACATATAAGTGAACAGTATTTAGATAAGGCTAAAGAGGTTTTAGTGACATTTATGGATTTAGAAAAGGCGTATGACAGGGTGGTTAGGGGGGCAATGTGGCAAATGTTGCAGGTGTATGGTATAGGAGGTAGGTTACTGAAAGCAGTGAAGAGTTTTTACGAGGATAGTGAGGCTCAAGTTAGAGTATGTAGGAAAGAGGGAGATTATTTCCCAGTAAAAGTAGGCCTTAGACAAGGATGTGTGATGTCAACGTGGTTGTTTAATATATTTATAGATGGGATTGTAAGAGAAGTTAATGCGAGGGTCTTGGCAAGAGGCGTGGAGTTAAAAGATAAAGAATCACACAAGGTGGGAGTTGTCACAGTTGCTCTTTGCTGATGACACTGTGCTCTTGGGAGATTCTGAAGAGAAGTTGCAGCGGTTGGTGGATGAATTTGGTAGGGTATGTAAAAGAAGAAAATTAAAAGTGAATACAGGAAAGAGTAAGGTTATGAGGATAACAAAAAGATTAGGTGATGAAAGATTGGTTATCAGACTGGAGGGAGAGAGTAGAATATGGAGGAGGGATGTATTAGATATTTGGGAGTGAAGTGTTCAGCGGAGGGTCTATGAAGATGAGGTGAATCATTAGAACTGATGAGGGGAAAAGGGTGGAGCGGTGCACTTAGGAGTTGTGGAGACAAAGAACATTGTCTTGGAGGCAAAGAGGGGAATGTATGAGAGTATAGTTTTACCAACGCTCTTATATGGGTGTGAAGCATGGGTGATGAATGTTGCAGCGAGGAGAAGGCTGGAGGCAGTGGAGATGTCATGTCTGAGGGCAATGTGTGGTGTGAATATAATGCAGAGAATTCGTAGTTTGGAAGTTAGGAGGAGGTGCGGGATTGCCAAAACTGTTGTTACAGGCTTTCGTCTTACACTCACTTGGAAGGACAGTAGTATTTCTGTGGGCGGTTGCTGTCTACCATCCTACTACGGACATGAGATATGAGTGATACATGTCTAGTACATAATGTTACGTGTTTGTCACTGATTATAATGCGAGAATCTCATCCAGCTCTTCAGAGCTGGGGCGCGTGCCCAAAATACAGCAGGCATTACCCCTCTGAACAGCCGCGCCGCACTGAGCCCCTGAAAAACTATATATGTATATTATATATATTTAATATATATATATATTGTAATATATTTATTATATTATATATTATATATTATATATTCAAACATTGTGAAAGCTCCAGCCGCTGCATCTTGAGACAAAGTACTCGGTACTATGTACAGAAAGTCACACTACACTTAACTTTGGTGTTCAGGGAATTAGGCCCTTGCTCCAGAGAGCCTGTGGCACCAGACTGGTCATTACTTTTCCTTCTTCTGAGTCTCTCTCGTGGCACCAGGCGTGGGATTAGTTTTTCATCTCTCCTGCATGCACCAACCCACAAGAACGATGCATGAGAGATGCATGACAGCTAGTCAGCTTGGTTCCACCGTCTCTGGAACAAACTCCCGAGTAGCTTGGTGCCAGAGTTACGTGTGTTGTAGCTTGGTGCCAGAGTTACGTGTGTTGTAGATTGGTGCCAGAGTTACGTGTGTTGTAGCTTGGTGCCAGAGTTACGTGTGTTGTAGCTTGGTGCCAGAGTTACGTGTGTTGTAGCTTGGTTCCAGAGTTACATGTGTTGTAGCTTGGTGCCAGAGTTACGTGTGTTGTAGCTTGGTGCCAGAGTTACGTGTGTTGTAGCTTAGTGCCAGAGTTACGTGTGTTGTAGCTTGGTGCCAGAGTTACGTGTGTTGTAGCTTGGTGCCAGAGTTACGTGTGTTGTAGCTTGGTGTGGATAGTGCTGCTTGTCTCTAGGCTTAAAATAAATGTTGGTAAATACATGCATCCAAAATGTAGATAACGAATGGTGATAAAATTCAAAGACTTTTGAAAAATTTGCAATCAGAATCTGGTGGTTATAATATATTTAAAAAAAAAACCCTTGTTTCTTGTGTGTGTTTGTGTGTGTGTGTGTGTGTGTGTGTGTGTGTGTGTGTGTGTGTGTGTGTGTGTGTGTGTGTGTGTGTGTGTGTGTGTGTGAACTCACCTATTTGTGGTTACAGTAGTCAAGTCATAGCTCCTGGCCCCACCTCTTCACTGGTCGCTACTAGGTTCTGTCTCTCCCTGCTCCATGAGCTTTATCATGCCTCGTCTTAAAACTATGCATGGTTCCTGCTTCCACTACGTCACTTTCCAGACTATTCCACTTCCTGACAACTCTATAACTAAAGAAATACTTCCTATCATCCCTTTGACTCGTCTGAGTTAACTTCCAATTGTGACCCCGTGTGTGTGTGTGTGTGTGTGTGTGTGTGTGTGTGTGTGTGTGTGTGTGTGTGTGTGTGTGTGTGTGCACGCACGCACAATTTTTCACGAACAAGCGAACGCACGGTCGCGCTTGTTCATGCAAAATTCTCAGTAACACAATTAATCTCTATTTTATATCTCAGGCGAGCGGCGCCTGAATAATGTAATTAATATAACACTTACTGTCATGTAACAGAATCTGTCATGCAAGCTATATGCATTAATTTGACTGATGAAAACTCCTCGCAATTACCTGTAGCAAATTTTTTCCACTTAGCTGTGATGGAAGTCCATTATATTGTACATTACGGAAGTGGCACTGAGAGTGCCAGAAATGAAGGGTTGAT